TTGATACGGTCTATTGCGACCACTTGTGAGGAATCATGTCAGGGGCTCCTACAGCATTAATCTTTGGACCTGGCAGGTTGGCAGCAGCTAAATCAGCCTTAGTAAGTGGGAATCTATTCCAGCAGTCAGCAAACTACAGCACCTTGGGCCAAATCGGGCTTACAGCCTGTTTTTGCATGGCCTAAGTACCAAGAATGGGTTTTACATTATTAAATGGTTGGAAAAAAAATCAAAAGAAGACTAATATTTATTTGCTTGTTTATTACCCGATTCCCTTTGCTAAATATCAGTTTCTTAAAGGCAGAGACTTTGTTTTATTCATGCCAGGCCAGTCTCGCCCCACCAAAGGGTGTAGTAAAATTTTCATCTATGGAACCCTTATGCATTACATGAGAATATAAAATGGTGCAGCTGCCGTGGAAAACACTTGGGGCTTCCTCAATAAACTAAGCACGGAATTGCCATATGACCTAGCAATTGGATTCCTGGATTTATACCCAAAAGAACTGGAGTAGATGTTCAAACAAAAACTTGGGCATGAATGGTAATAGCAGCACTATTCATAACAGCCAAAGGTGGAAACAACCCGAATGCTCATCAGCTGATGAATGGATACATAAAATATCGTATAGTCATACAATAAAATATTGTTCAGTCATAAAAAGAAACAAAGTACCAATACATCCTAGAACATATATGAACTTTGAAAACATTATGCTAAGTGGAACAAACCAGACACAAAAGACCACACATTAAATGATCCAATTTATATGAAATCCCCAGAATAGGTAAATCCATAGAGACAGAAGGGAGGGGAAAGTGGGGTGTGACTGCTCAACAGGAAGGAAGTTTTCTTGCAGGTGATGGAAATGTGCTGGAACTAGATAGTAGTGACGGTTGCACAACATTGTGAATGTATTTAATGTCACTGAACTGTACTCGAACATGGTTGAAATGGTAAACTGTATGTTATGTGTATTTTACTACAATAAAAAGAAGTTAATCTATTATTGATGTTGGACATTTGTGGTATTTCCCAATTTTTATTATTAAAACTAACCTTGCCCGGCCGGGCGTAGCTCAGTGGTTGAGCGTCGACCTAGGATCCAGGCGATCGGAGTTCAATTCCCGGTCAGGGCACATGCCCAGGTTGCAGGCTCGATCAATGACTCTCTCATCATTGATGTTTCTCTCTCTCTCTCTCTCTCCTTTCCTCTCTCTGAAATCAATAAAGATATATTTAAAAAAAACCACAACTAACCCTAAGATAAACATCATCAGACACCCTATGTCTTGTACATTTTGGTTAGGACAGATTCCTAAGTGTTGAATCACTGAGTCAAAGAATATGAAAAATTTTAAGGACTTGCTATACATGAGCAAATGCCCTTTGGAAAAGTATCAGTTTCACTCTCCTTGATTGCTGTTGGCACATCAATGGGAGGGATTTACCCCCAGGGCAATCAACTGCAAGAACTAGCTATCACCACCAACCACCAACTACCACGGAGGATCAGTTGTGCAGGGGCCAACCCCACAGATTAGGACTTACTTCAGTGGGGCTCTGGTGTCCGCTGAGTCCACCCCTTGAGTGTGTCACTTGGAGGTGGTTGGGTGGTGGTGCTCGGACATGGTCTGAAGGTGTCCACTGGGTGCACTGGCTCTAAAGCTGTCCACTGGGTGCAAGGGCCTCCTGGGAAGTGCAGACCAAGGTTGCCCGCTGCCTGTGTTCTGCCCGGCATGAGCTACAAAGGATCTGCAGATGGTGGCTATTTGTGCTGGGCTTAGAGGTGCCTAGGTGAGGCCAAGCTGTGAACCAAGGCTGGCCACTGCTAGTGCAGGGCCTGGGGCCACTTAGCAAGAGGTATGTGCCTTGCTGAGGGCAGAATCTGCGTGTTTGAGACAGTTAAGGAAAATCTGAAGCATGAGCCAAGACGGGTCATTTCTATGGAAAAGTCACTGGAAAAAGCTTGGGTG